TATTATGAAAAGTTGTAGAGCTTATTAAAACATATCTAATAGTAGTTAGATCATTCAAATTGGTGTCTTAATAAGCTCTACAACTTTCTCATAATACAGAAGGTCAATTAGCTTAATAAGAAAAAAGTTTTTCTTGAGTGATCATAGTATTTGAGGCATATATAATTAATATAGTAATCTGAGTCATGTTATACTATATATTTTGTTCTGTTGACTTGTAAAGCATCAATTAATAAATATTTTATTTTATTTTATTTTTTTTGTGATCAAGGTTAGCCTCTTCGGCTTATTACTTTTATTAGACTATAAAATCATGTAGTGCCTTTCAAAGAGCTTCAGACAAGTACATTCTGACAAGAGTATATTCTAGCTATACCTATGCCTTTTGAGCATCTAATTTAAGTAGTCTGCCTATTACTAGGTTTTACACTAGATGCCGTACCTATAACCCACCTATTATTTGGGTTATTCAATTAAACCTTCTGATTAGAGTTTCCTATACCAATCTATTTAATCTCACCAGAACCTGTGGTACATTAGTCAGTCTAAGTTTTAGGCTCGTTCATGAACTACCTATAGGACTACCAGCTTGGTTAACCGATTCATCCTCAAGGTCATCATTTGCTAAAGCAGTCCAGTACTCACTATTACCATATTATCTAGTCTTTTTCAGATAAGTCTTGCTATATAGATTCTATATCTTTATGAGCAGGCTATATCACCAATTCTTTTTGCAGATAAGTTCATCAGATAGGTTCTAAACCTTTATGAGCAGACCACATCGCCAAACCCAATCCAAATAGCCCAGAAGGGACACTAGTTCTGTGGTATCTGCTAATCCTTTTCCTCTAGTCGATGCTCAAGCCAGTAGCCTGATTGGTGAAACAACTTGCTAGATATTCTTGTCGCATCCAGTTCTCCAGCCTTGGGTGAAGCCTATTATAGCAGCTACTGTCAAAAGTTTGTGCTACATCTCTACTCAGGTCTTGCCAAGCAGGCATCAGTTTCTTAAATTTATATGAGCACGAGGTCTTATTTTGGATTTGTACTAACTAATATCAGCTTGCATGCTTTTGTGAACTTATGCATTGCATGAATACCCCATGTTCTCCCAATCTTGTTGGTGCAACCAAGATTATAGAGATCCTGTTCCAACCGATCGTCAAAAGGCAGTAGCTATTGTACAAGCAGAAAATTCAAAATTTCACCGTTGGTAGGTTTTGAACTCTCTACCTCCAACTTATCACTTAGAGTGTGCCAACTAACCACTTCACTAAGTCGCTACACCCTATAGATATTTTATTAAGATTATTTTAAAATATTTATAATTATATAAAAAAAATTATAAATTTATAAATTTATTAATAGTTAAATTAAAATTTTAATGTTTCTAATTTATTTCTATATTATTAAAGCATATTAGAATACTTTAGTTTTTGATAAACTTATTGATATTGCTAATAGTTTTATAATATTTTAATATAGTCTTCTCACTTTATAATCACCTTCTTTATAGTCATAAAATTAATATAATCACTGTTTTATTTTTACTAACCATTTTTATATTATTTATATCTCTATATAGATACAAGTGCTTTATAGTTACTATTACATTTTTTCATTAACCAATTATATAATATCTATATAAAATTATCCTCTATAAAATTATACAATACAAGTGTAAGTGGGGGTGCCGACGGCGCCCCTTTAGAGAGCATGGTTTTGATTTTATGTTTTATTTTTGTTAGTTATGTTTCAATTTTAAGTATGATGTATTGTGTTATAATTATTTATAGTATAGTTTAATTTTTATTTATTATGTAATTGTTTAGTTAGTGAACTTGTTTTGTTTTGAGTTTGAAGCAAATTTTTTATTTAAAAAATATTTTTTTGAGTATTTTTATTGGTTGGATAAGGTAGATGAAATAAGCTTTTTTTAGTTTTACAAAGAAATTTGAATTAATAAAAAATAGTATGCTATTTGTTAAATAATGCTTGTTTTTTAAAGCAATAACTAAAGGGAATCAAAATACTAAGAAAAGTTTGTTTTGGAAGAGACAAAGTTTTTTTTTTCTTCTTTTTTTTAGATGTAATTCGTGATTTGGTATTCTGGGATGTTTTAGCTGAGTTAAAAAATCTGGCATCGCAAAAGGATGGTCGTCTATAATTTGGTCATTTTCTTTGATAATATCATAACTATAGTAAGTATAGTCTTCTCCGGACAATGTGTTGAGAATTAGTGAATTGAATTTGTCAACTAAGATGTTATGTGAGCTGAGAAAAGCTCTCTTCTGCAATATTTAAGTGTTCATTTGTGAGTTATTAGGATATAAAAAAGAGATGACATCTTCTACATTTCGAGTTGTTTTAAATATGCTTAAAGAGACTTCAGGGTTTTGCCAGTTACTGCCAATGTTATCAATAAATTCGCAAAAGTTTGGATCAGTTGCATTTCTAATAGGTTGATGTAGTTCATATATATTAAAATGTGGGCATAGATATGAGCTTTTAACTGATGCATCAATGGTGGCACTTTTTCCTGCTCTCTTAACTACTGGAGCTACTTGATGAAAATCTCCAACTCCAATTAGAGGTTTTCCGCCAAATGGTTCGTCATTTTTACAAATTTGTCGAAGGAGTTGGTCAACATAATCTAACACAGATTTATTTGCCATTAGGAGCTCGTCCCAAATTATTAGTTTTGCTGCATGGATTAGATCTGCACGGTGGCTATGAATTTTAATTGATGATTGGATGTTTGCATTATATTCTTCTATAGGTACACAAAATAACGAGTGTGCCGTACGTCCTCCTTCATATAACTGTGCTGCTAGGGCAGTGGTTCCACAGAGCAAAACGATTTTACTTTCAGCTCTAATAGCATGGCAGATAGCATTAATTAAAAACGTTTTACCTCGCTCTGCTTTTCTATCTAGAAATTTTGGGAAATTTGTTGTTGGTGTAGGTCGATTTTCTGGTTTTAAAAGGACATAAGCAATAATTTCCTGATAAAAAGCCTTTTGTTCAGAGGTCATTTTTGAACAAAGTTCTTCAGTAAGTTTATGGTAGTGAGAGCTGTTAGAAAAACGGTGAAGTTCTAATGCTATTTCTTGTATTAGTATTTGTGGTTCTGATAGTCCGAAATCTCGTATATATTGTCCGTGTACCATAATCATATAAGCGATTTTTGTAGTGTGATATTGTTAGTTAGGCGATTATTATGGGGAAATTGTTCTTGTATGTCTGCGGAAAATTCATTATTAAATCTTTACCATATATCATATGCAGGTTACCATCTAGAATTAATTGTATAAATAGAAAGCGCAGTTTTGCTGGAGTATAGAAGTTTTCTATTGCTTCTTTCATGGCGAATATACCTTCATTATCTACAGTAAATAAGCCTATTTCACTGGCAGTTTCTTGATACGTACGATATGTGATTCCATTGATGGTTCTAAGGCCTTCCCATGTTCGAAATGAACGATGCATTAGAATGCATCTCAAATAGAAGAGTTCACTGGCTTCAGGTGATATCAACACTATTCGGGTAATTTTGTCCGTGATGCATTTTCTCACAATTTTTCTTGGTATTTGAGGTTGTTCTTGTTCCAGAAAATCTCTATCCTTAAATTCTTCTTGTTTAAAGGGGTACAATATAAATTGTTTATAATATTCTGTATATTTAAGGTTATTGAAAAGTGAATCAAGTGGGCGAAGAAGGTAACGGGTCAGAAGTGATGCGGTGGATGATATATTTTGTAAGCGCGAATATTGTGAAATATTTGCTTCAGGAAAATGTAAGGGAAGTATTTGTACAGGTGGATCTGTTGTTGTTGTTCTATATCTAAATATTCTCCATGCTGCTTCGGGTGCCGATAAGTATCTTCCTTCTATATAATCTTTAAATTCATTAATTGGTTGTTAATTTAAGTTTGTTTCCATTTTATTCGTGTTATTTATAGTATATCTGACATGATCAGAACCTTTGAAGAGGTATTTATATAAATACATAAATAAATGAACAGTTGATGCAATTTCAAAATTTATGTGACAATTTAATTTCAAAATGAGCATCAGATTATATGGTACAACCCATTTATCTTCATTCGTTCTGCATTTATATTGTACGTAACCTTTTTCATCAAGGTATGTGTTTGTATTAATGGATTTTGGGTATTTATATATACAGGTTCCATTGCGAAGGCATCTTGATGAATGACTTTGTTTATGAAGCATAAATTTTTTGATTAACTTTCTCAGTTGTATGTTTTCACAAGGTAATTCTGCAGATATTATCTTATCAATTTGGTCAACTGGAAGTTCAGGGTTAACACGCATAACAATATGAGCATGGGGGAGTCCTCATTTTTGAAATTCGATTACATCTATTATATAGGCGATTTTCTCAAAATATTTACGTAGTAAATCTTTTAGTTTCCCAAAACGTGAGTGGAATGCACGAACAATTATCGTTGATAATTCTGTTACGTTTTGTCCAGGCCGGAGTTGTAATTTTATTTCTTCCCAATTTGGGTTAGTAGTCATAGTTATAAAGAAGCTCAGTTTTCCTCTGCAGCACGCTAGAGCAAGTACATTCGCAACATGAACGGAACATCATTTTTTTGAGCCTAAAAATGAAGCAGGAAGCCGTAGATCGCTTTTATCCTGGTTATCTTCATTTTCGAAGTCTTCTTCAACATTATATTGTCTTTGTTGGTTTCTTTCTTTATTAAGACGCTTTTTTCATTTAAAATATAATTTAGGCGTTCTTCTTCTATACATGAATACATATCTACTAAATATTCAGAAGTTAATCTTCCTAATATCAGGAATCTTTCTTCACGCAACAAACGAGAGCGATACCAATCGATTTGTGAAAAGTCATAATTGTTATTAGGATACCATCCCGGTGTTCCGTGAGGAAAGAGTAATGGGTATTGTAATGGTTCATATTGTGAACTAAGAATATTCACAAATTTGGGTGTCGAATTTGAATATCGTCAGATAATGATGCTTCGTGGTTGTATATTTATAATATTATTAGCATGCATAATAGCAGCTATTTCTCCAGTTAAGGTATTTTCTTGGAGTTCTAAAAATGCAGTATCCGAAGGATTATCTTTAAATATTTGTAGTAAATGTACATAAGGGTTAATTTGTATTAGCATATTTTGTATAGTTGTTATCCATTCATCGGGGACTTTATAACCATGTGCTGTAAGGTGTCTTTCTTGTTCATCATAAAGATACCAATGTATTGAATGATTTGGTGTATTCGCTGGTAAAACACGATGGTAAGTTCATCCAGTGATGCTAATAGAAGATGGTGCAGAAATTTTAACAAATTGACCTTGTACACCGATCACAGTAAATGAAAAAAGTGTGTTGAGCTTTCGTGAAAGAACGTTAATATTTGTATTATTTAAAATTTTATTAATTTCTGTAGAATAAGGTGGTAATAATGGAATGATTCGTTTTTCATCGTTACAACAAAATTTTGATGATTCTCTAGTAAGAAGCACTACCGAACAATGAGGACATATACGATCCCATATAAAATTTAATGGAGCTAGAGATCTTTCGTTTAATGAATGTAACACATTCCACCAAGATAAGTCATGTTGCGAGAGATGTTCTGTTTCATTATTTATTTGCGAATTATATTTATCTAGATTTATTTCCTTTTTTTTTTGTTCATTAGAATTGTTCATTCTTTTAGCAGCATTTTTTTTTCGTGCACGGTATCTACGTTTATATTCTGTTTTTCGCTGTTTTTGTTTTAATCGAGTATTTCTAGAATTTCTTTGTTCTTTAGTCAACATTTTTTTTTTTTTACATTTAATTTTTGTGAGTTTTTATTATCACTATTAATTATATTTTGTTTTAGTTGTATTTATATATAGTAAATGCGATACATTTTATATATCACTTGAAATTTAATTTCTAAAATTTTTTCAATGTAATTTTATAATTGTTCATAAATTTTTAGTAGTGTTTTTATGAGATCTCTGTACCCATTTCATATTTCAAATATCATGTATGAGTTATTTTATATATATATATTATTATATATATATATATATATATATATATATATAGTAGAAGTATTTAAAACAAATCCATGCTTAACGTTAACTGAAATTATATTTTTGTTCTCACGCACGTACATATTTTTTATTAATGAAGTAATTTTTAACGAATTTGCATGTATGTAATTGTAATTACTATTTTTAAGACATACGCCAAACGTTAATGTTTCTGTTAAAGTTTTTTTTCTCACATTTCTCATATTTATCAAATTTGGCTAACGTTAAATATACCGAATTTAATTTTGGTTATTTATTTATCGATTTATCGTTAAATTAGAATCATTTTGATAATTTGTTACTCACATGTTTTCATTATTACTTGTTCTAATATATCATCTTATAAATTTTTTTTTTTTTTTTTTTCACATGTTCTGAATGATCAGTGAAAATGTAAAAGACAACCTGTGATCGCGGAGGATCTACGGACAGTTCTTAGGGACAGATTAAATCACGTGAATAACTAGTTAGGGACAGTTAGGGACAGTTAAGGTTAGTGGTTTTAGCAATATCACGTGAATTTGAACTGTCCTTACTGTCCGTAAGAACTGTCCATAGATCCTGCGCTGTGATCGACGTTAATTTCACATGATCTGAAAAGTGTAAGAGACGCAGGATCTATGGACAGTTCTTACGGACAGTATGGACAGTCGAATTCACGTGATATTGCTAAAACCACTAAACCTTAACTGTCCCTAACAACTATTCACGTGATTTAAACTGTCCCTAAGAACTGTCCGTAGCTTGTCCGTGTAAGAGACAACCTGTGACCGACGTTAATTTCACATGATCTGAATGATTGGTGAAAATGTAAGAGACAACCCGTGACCGATGTTAATTTCACATAATCTGAATGATTGGTGAAAATGTAAGAGACAACCCATAATCGACGTTAATTTCACATGATCTAAATAATTGGTGAAAATGTAAGAGACAACCTGTGACCGATGTTAATTTTATAATAAGAGAAAATAAGTAGTTATATGCCTTTTAATAATACTGCCTGAAACTATATCAAGATTTCAAAACTCAAACTAAGTTTATATATATATAAGACAAATCTGTCGCATACTTAATATAATATAAACAAACTAGTACAATGTACTTCTCTAACAACTGATTTGCTAACAATTACTTCTCGATACCAATATATCCGTTTCTTAGCAACTACCATTTCTCAGGCAAACAACAATTTTCTAACAACTTCTTACAACAAACTACTTACCTGATGATTATTTACTGAAATCACTTCCATGATAGCTACTTCATCCCAACACAACCACTTATCTAACAACTATTATACTTTTCTGACTATTATCACATCCTTAATAACCCACTTTCACCAACAATTATTTCTTTTTAAATATTGTTTACCACTTTCTTAACTATTATATATCTTTGACAATCTTCCTTTTCCTAACAACTTCTCTTTCCCTGACAACTACTTTCCTAATACTGTCTACTACTTCACCAAAATACACAATTATTTAATAATACAATTTCAACCTTTTCTACAGCTATTTCAATTTTGATGATTTTAAATATTAATAGTTTAGATTTACCTGTACTAAATTTAGTATAGTCAGACCTCTATAAGTGCATGCCCTGGAGACTGACTATAAATGTACACTTAGAGAGGGTATGCACTTAGAGAATTACAGATTTAGATTACACAAATTTATGATCATCCAATCAGAAACTCACCCAAAAAACACAAGAGTTATCGAATTAAATTACAAATCCTGAGATACTTGAAAAAATTAGCTGAATGATTTTTCAGCCAATTCGATTAATTTTGTAATTTTGGCATAAAAATTTTATAAATTGATACTGTATATTTTACTGTACATACATACATATCTCAAAAATATGATACTTTAAAAGTATATTAATATTTATATATAAATATCTGATCATGCTAAATCATAAACATAATCAAATCGGCCAAAAAATCATTCAGTTAATTATTTTAGGTATCCCAGATAAAAACAGCTGTAACTTATTTCAAAAATAAATGGAAGTTTAAAAAATTTTTTTATAATTTGAAATTCTAAAATCAGGAGCATATGCATATGAAATTTATAAACTTTTTAAAGCAAATAAAGTTTAAAGTTGCTCAAATATATCATTTATCTGCTGAATACACCAATTATTTATATGACTTGCGCGAAAAATATAAAATAAATTCATATATTTCATTGCATAATTTCTTTAATATAGCGTAATAAGACCTGGTTTAATCAATTTTTTTATAAACTTAAAAATTAAAAAAAAAATTTTAAAATTTTTTTAAAAAGAAACAATTCTTAAAAAATTTTTTAAACATTTTTTTTTTTAAAAGAAAAAAAAAAAAAAAGTAAATTTAATAAAAAAAACACTGAATGTTATTTAATTTTCATAAATAATCCATTAGCTTGTGATATCATTGCGATACTGCTAAGTTGTTCATAATTACAATTATTACTATCAATTAAATTGAGAACCTTAAGGAATCTTGTATAATTAAATAGTATATTTGAAAATTCTGAAATGATCTTATATTCATTTAAAATTAATTTTTCATCTTCATTAAGAGATGAAAAATATCTATAAATAAATAATGGTCTTTGATGATCAAATAAAAATAGATTTTGCCAAAGAATAGGAATTGACATTTTATACCAATGTCGGCTTACAAATATGCATGAATATAAGAAATAACTTACATTCTTTAAATTCTTTAGAATATTTTTCATTAATTCGAGCATACTGCCCATAAATATCTTTGATGCTATGATGTGAATGAAAATGCGATTTTAGAAAATTTTTCACATAAATTAAGTTGCAAAAAATGCAGAAGATTTTCTTTTACCTATTTTATGTCTTAAAATATTCATCTATATGAGTTTGCTGAGCAGAACTTGACACCATTCTCCTAATAAATTTCTTAATAAAATTAATTGATTTTAATTGATCACCCAAGCCTTCCTGCTGAAGTAAAAACATCTAAACATTTTCTAAGCTATTCAACACCAAGCTACCACTAATAATTACAGGTTCTACACTATCATCTTCCTTTTCATCCATTACCTTAGTATTTCTTTTATCCATAACTTCAATACTTTCATCATTTCTGAACACATAAGCCAGCTCCTTAATAATTTGATCCTCTAGGAGGATTTCGTAAACAATTTCTTCACTATTAAAATTTAAGAATTCATCAAATTCTATCGCATTTGGAAGACAGAGAGTATCCAGTGACCTAATAAGACCTTCAAGCCTTGAATTGCCAGCTTCACAAAGATCATCTAAAAGATTTGCACTAGACAGAAGAATTTTTGTATAATGCTAACAATTATGTATGGTTATAGCCAAAACCTCCCCCAACCCTTTATAATATACAAGATTGCTTGTAAAACATCCATCTTCAAATTCTGAATGAGATTACCTGCTTCGACTTACTCTAACATCCACCTAATATTTTTTTAAAAAAAATTTTTTTTTTTAAATCTGAATCCAATAGACTACTGTATCTTAATAAATTAAAGAGCGAAATTCAATACCAATATCCAGCCCCATTTCACTGATAGTCTGCTTCACTGACAACCTTATTATTAAAGACTGTATTATATAATCTGCTGCCATTGAATAGACTATTAGTGAAATGGAACTACTGGAATTGGGAATTGTGGCAAATTAAACAAAGAATAAAATAATAACAAACCGAAGAATGAGAAAACAATCAAAAAAAAAAATAGAGAGATGAAAATGACAATAGGCTCTTTTAAAAGCCATAATTATTCCTGTGTCCATCGGTTGTATCCTAGTAGTTGTATTTTTGGGTAAAAAATGTACATCTACATACCGGAGTGTTAACCTATCTAACTTATGACTAGACCAATTGTCAAGAAGTAAAAGAACACGTTGGTCTGAATGCTTTTGCAACATTTAGTGGTCGAAATCCTGAAGCTACTCTTGAAAAAGAACCACAAGCATCCAAGCCTTAGTGTTGCTTCTATATGTTATGGACAAGTTATTTATTTTCACATTTTTGAAATATCGTGGTTTAGCATATTTGTCAATTATAAGAGGAGCTAACTTATGGGATCCATCAGCATTCATACATAATGCTACAGAAATACATTCCTTATTCTTTTTGTGTCCTGCAATTTGTTGAGTCACTAAGGTTCGATCCGGTTCCAATTTAGAAAGAAAAATTTTTTATTAAAAAAAAAAAAAAATTCTATCAAAAAAAAAACTACCAGTAAAAAAGCCCGGTTTTGTCTATATTATATATAAGGTCAAGAGGATATTCAGAGCATTTACTTTGCAATAAAGGTAGAAATTTAGTAATAACATCCTTATCAACAGAACCTGCTTCTCCATGAAGCTTTATTTGACGGATTCTATTTCATTCTTTAAATTTTTGGAGACATCTGGAAGAAAAATATAACTTGCCTTCAGTAACTTCAAGTTCAACTGCTAACAATTTTGCTTTTTTGATCATCATGGCATCGCTTAGAATAGTGCGGTGTTGATAGATTAGTATGAATTCTTTGAGCACTAGTTCAAGCTCTGGTACAGTAACGGTCCTATATTGCTTGGCTTCTAGATTTATGATTTCATTTGAAAGTTGTTGGTTCTTAGTTTGTAAGATTCAAGTGATTGTAGACTCATTAACTTTAACTCACCATTTATCTTCAATCCACTTTACATATTCTGGACGGGTTCTTTTATTATAATGGGCATAGATACAG